AACATTTCAAAATATTGAAATCCTAAAGAGTTTGTGGTCTGATCATGGGAAAGTAGGTTAGAAATAAAAACAGATAGCATTCACAATAGAAATCTCACATGTTTGGCAATTAAGAAAGGTATTTTTAAATAATATAAAAGCCAAAGAAAGCAATCACTTTGGAAATAAAAATATTTTTAATTTAGATAATAAAATCACTTCATGTCAAAATATGTGGGAAGAAGCTCAACTGTTGTGAAATAAATTTATACTGTTAAATGCACTAAAAAGAAAAGGAAAAAGACTAAAGATAAACGACATAGACAGTTGTCTCAAGAAGTCATTTAAAACATCAAAGGAAGTAAAATGGAGAAAATGATAAAGAGAATATATAGGTTAAAAATAATGATTTTATAAGTATTTAAAGATTCAGTTTGAATGAAAATCTTTCCCAGAAAGAAAACTTTGGGTCCAGATTAACTTTTCTGGTTAAGCCTATTGAGCATTTAAGAAATCACACCAATAGTACACAGATTCTCTAGAGAGACTGTAAAGAGGAGGTCACTCTCCTTGATTTGGCTTAGGAACCCAACATAACCTTGATATCAAAATATGATGTAGACATTCACAGAAATTGCATGCACACCAGGCAAGTGCACCACTTCTAAATAGAGATGCAACCACTCCACATAAAATGTGGACAAATTCAAAATCATCAATTCACAAAAAGCATATCAAAGAAGGTTGATTTATTCCAGGAACGCAAGATTAGGCTAGCATTTAAAAAATTAATCAATGTAGTTAATCACCTACACGGATGGATACAAAATTATGTGATGATATCAACAGGTTCAGCAAGTATGTTTGAAAAGAATATTTATTCATGCTAAAAACATCAAACAAACATTTAGCAAAGTAGGAATACAAGGCAGTCTCCATAATCTGACAAAGTAAATATACAAAAACACACAGCAAGTATCACACATGATAGTGAATTATTATTATTATTATTATTATTATTATTATTATTATTATTATTATTATTTGGTACCGGGGATTGAACCCAGGGGCACTTAACCAGTGAACCACATCCACAGCCTTTTTGGAACTTTATTTTGAGACAACTCACTGAGTTGCTTAGGGCCTCATTAAGTTGCTGAGGCTGGCTTTGAACTTTCGATCCTTCTGCCTCAGCCTTCCAAGCCTCTGGGATTACAGGTGTGTGCCACTGTGCCTGGCCAATAGTGAATTATTGATAGTTCTCTGAAACTGGGAACAAGACAAGAATGCCTACATTTGCAAGTTCCATCCATCCTTCTAATAGAGATCCCAGCCAATGCAATGATGTAAGAAAAAGTAACAGAAGTCATAATTACTAAAAAGAATAAATACTACTGTCAAAATTCACAGGCAATAAGGCTATTTAAGTAAAATTCTAAAAAGAACCTACAAATCTATTATCTATTATTTAGAGTAGTGAGTTTAGCAAATGCTTATGTTTATCAGCAAGAAACAAGTAATTAAATCTATCACTTACTGTAGCATCAAAATACCAAATGCTGAATAATCAATCTAGTGAAAGGTATACAAACTAATCATAGAGAACTATAAAACTTCAGAGAGACTGAAGAAAGCATAAATAAATTAAGAGGTATCCCATATGCATCGATTGGGAGATCCAATTGTGCAAAGATACCAGTCCTTTAAAGACTGACCTGTAGAGTTCATGCAGTGCTAATTAAAATCCCAGGAAGTGGCGTTGGTGTAAAGACAGACAAGAAGACAAATGTCAGAGCAGAGAAACAGAGTCAGTGAGGAGGACTCTCTGTGTGTGGCACCGTCCTGGGGTCCTGGGACCCATTGGGCAGGAGGCCCCTGTCTGCCTGCGCTGTGGCCGGGGAAGGGCCTGGTGGTGAGTGGCTGGGTGGAGTCGGGGTGGGACACGGCCCTGACCTTCACATTGATCCTGGGGCAGCCTGTGGGCTTGAACCTGCTGGAGAGAAGCTGTCCTTCCCAGGGGACGCCCAAAACCACATGTCGCTTGCCCTGGGGGAGGGGATGTGCTGAATTGTGAGAGGCACCTCTGCTAGGCCCCTGGCCCTGCCCGGCCATCTTCCAGGGACGGTCTCAGTACAGAGCACCACCCCAGATGGCACCCCTGAAGCTGAGCTCGGCCAGGGGCTAGCCCCCTGGGGCAGGGCTGCACAATCGGGAGGCGTGGCCAGGTGGTCTGTGAGCACGGCTGAGCCGGCCGCGGGAAGCACCCTCCCGGGCTACCTTCTGCTCTCTCCTGGGTGCAGAGCTCGGGTGGTCACCACGGGCGTGAGACTTGCGGAGGGTGCTGGGTTCTGGGACTGAAGCCTGGAGAGCGTGAGCAGCAGGGGTTGTTCCATGATCCCAGTGGCTGGTGTCCTGGGACTGTGTTGGGGCTCCTGTGCCCCTGGTGAGAGTGGCCCCAAGGGACAATCAGGAGAGCTGAGGGAAACCCACTTGAACCACGGGCAGCCTGCTGCCACCTAACTCTCCTGCTTCCACCCTAGAGAAAATGCTGGTCACCAGGACATTGGCCACGTCAGATAGTGCCAGGAGGGCCCCAGCCAGGAGGACCGGGCACCTTGTGCCACGGCGGGGACAAGCCTGCAGTGCCCCTTCCCTTCCAGCCCTGGTCGGTGGGGAGGCCAGCCACGGAGGGCCCTGGCTGGAGCAGCCCCAGGGCTGCTGACCACTCGGGCATCTTCGGTCCCGGGGATCACAGCACAGGGGGACGTCCTATCAGACACCACTGAGCCAGAACAGTTGACCACGCCTTCACTTAAACACACCAAGGATCGTGACTGAATTGTCCCAAGTGGCAAACAGGTGACCGGTCGAGCCTTTGGCCACGCCTCACGGAGACACCTCTCATTCTCCAGGGCTGGCCCTTCTGGGCCACAGCACTGAACTCCAGGCTGGCCTGTGGGCTGACCGCACAGGGCCAAGGCTAACTGGACTCTGGGGGTTCTCAGGGCCTCAGCTGGTTGCAGAGTCCCTGGTCAGCTGTCTCTGAGTGGAGAGGCATGGGCGTCCAGCACACAGCTGGGGAAGGTGGAGCCCGGCCTTCTTCCGGCCCTGCTGGCGGGGCATGTGGGTGGGCACAGAACAGGTGATGTCACTGGCAGTCACTCCCTGGGGTCTGGCTGTAGGCAGGTCAGGACCAGAGTGGGAGGGAATAGCCCCTGCCTCTGGGAATTGTTGCAACTGGCGAGGCGTAAACCACGCCGGCTCAAAGCTGGGCGCCAAAGAAGGCTGCTCCCCGTGGCTCCCGCAGGCCACCCCACCCAGAAGTTTAAGGTGCACCGTGTGCCCAGAGGACAGCATGGTCTGCAGGGGGCGCCATGGACACCTGGCAAGAGCCTGGTCCAGGGGCATCTCTCGGTTCCTCCTGAGCCCTGCTGTGCGGTGTTGGTGCTGGTCTCTTGTGGCCTCCTGGGTGGTCTCTTGGGTCTACACAGAGGCCAGGAGCCTTGGGTGAGAGTCCACCCCAAACCTGCTCACCCCCGAAACAGAGGGTGGATAGGGGAGATGGAGGCCCGGGCAGGAGCCAGAGGCTGGCCTCTATCTTCCTCACCTGAGTTCTCAGCCGTTTGTGGCTGAATCGGAAGAAAGAAGGGGACTTAGGACGGGTGAGGAAGCCGGGGGTGGGGTGCAGTCAGCAAGGTCTCCCCGTCTTCCTCTGGACAGGCCCCGGGGACTGTCTGTCCTGCTGCCTCCCCGGGAACCTTCCTGGGTCATGTGAGGTTCCTGGGGGCAGCTGACGTCTCCCACCGTGTCCCCAAAGACAAGCTGTGTGCCATTTCAAACACCCGGAGCCAGGCCCTGTCAACAGGGGCACAGGCAGATGGCAGATGCTGGCTCTTCTCTTCTCTCCTCCCTGGGAAGTCCCTCTGGTCGGGGAAGGCCAGGCGTGCGTGCACTGGTTGTGACCATGACTCCCAGTAACTGTCAACCAAGAAACGGGAAAAAACTGGTCTGGGGCGGCAGCCAGCCTGCTAGAGTCCACACCCTCAGAAGACGCTTGTCCCCCCTCTGCCGGCCCACGTGGTGGCTGAGGGACTCTGGGGACTGCTGGGCTTTCCACTCTTTTCCATGGAAGACCAAGGGCAGCAGGGCCTCAGAGACTCCGCCTCCTTCAGGGCCCAGGCCGGGTCTTCGCCCCTGGATCATGGGCGGAGTGGAAGTCCCAACCACAACCGCCCAGGACCTCGGAGGGAGCTGCGTTTGGAGTCAGGGTCTTCTTGGAGCGACCTGAACTAAAGAGGTCATTAGGGGAGTCCTTAGGAGGAGACCAGGACATGGACACGCAGAGGGACGGCCCTGTGAGGACACGGGGAGAGGACAGAGTCTGCACGGCCGCTGTTTGGGCCCCAGTCCAGGGTACCAGCTGACGGATGCCGCCAGCCCGGCTGGGCCCGGCAGAGGGTGTCCTGATGTTGGGGCCTCCGGCTCTCTCCTGGCACAGCTGCCGCGAGCACTCGGGGAGGGCAGCAATCATGTTGAGTAAACGGGGTCCCAGACACGGGGTGTCACTCTCTGGTCAAACAAATATTTGCTCAGGACTTTCTAAAGGTGAACAACATAAACACGGCCCCTGGCCTGCAGAGCCAACGGGCTATTAGTGGAATTAATAGTCACTTAGAGAAACCCAGGCGAGCAGATGCGATTGTTTGGATTGTCGCTCGGCACATGTTCACACCCCGCCTCCAGAGGGCCGGGTGACCTCCCTGCTGCGGACCTCGGGCTGTGGCCCTGGGACTTCTCTGGCCAAGGAGATGTTGGTGACATGACAGGATCAGCGTCCTGCTGCCCACTGGGGACACCACTTAACTGGAGTCCTGCACCCAAGCCCCAGCTGACTCTGGGCAGCCATGGGTACAGTCACAGCCCAGGTAATCCACCAGGGCCGGCAGCCCTCCACCTGCTGACCGTGGGAGGGCCACAGCCTTCGAGGGGAGGCACACGGGAGCCCTGTGGCCGGTGCAGAGTGAACCACACAAGCAATGTTTATTTCAACCAGGAAAGGGGGAGTGTGGGAGGGGATGTGGGCAGCACGAGACCCTGCAGGTTGCTTGGGGAACAGCACAAACACATCACCATGTGGCAGATCAGGGAAGGGGACGGACCCTTTCTAGGTGGGGCAGCAAGTCACAGCCTGCAGACTGGGTCCGGTCACCAACATTCTGAAGGGGCTGTGGGCCAAGCACAGTTTTCATGGTTTCAAGAAAATCAAAGAATCTTTCATGGCGTTGAGCTTGACGTGGAAGATGGCCTCAGTGTCCACACATGCTCTGGGAGTGGAGCCACACCCCTGGCCCTGCAGTCTGTGGCCACCTTCATGTCATGGCAGTGGAGGTGAGCTCAGGCCCAGGGACCTGTACTTTCCACCTCCTGGGACTTTGTGCCACAGTGTTCCTGCTCCTGAAGAAGTCCTGGAGCAAACACGAAGTTGTCCCCTTGCATGGTGCATAGTGGCATCGGACACTGGGGAGGAGCAGATTGGGCTCCAGGGCACCTGTGGCACCTTGTGTTGGGGCCTCCCATGTGCCAGTTGTGAGCAGGTGCCCTCCACAGCACGAGGAGGGGCAGGGTCTACACCTCTTGTCCGGAAGGAGGCAGTCCCCCCTCAGCCTTCACCCAGGGGCCAGCCCTGGCCAACTCACCCACTGTGCACCCTCCTTCCAGCATGCCCTCCATTCACCATTCCCTCAGCACCTTCCAGGGGAAACATAAAGATATGGAATTGAATAAGACAGTCGTCTACTGTCTGTCTATCCATCCTTCCATCCATCCACTTGCTATCTATCTGTTCATCATTAATCTATTCACGACTCATTCATCATCCTTCATTCATCTGTCCACCCCCCACTCACTCACACAGCCACTCATCCTCCATCCACAATCTACCCACTATCAATTTACCCACCCATCCATTCACCCATCCATCCACCTGTCCACCTACCCATCCTCCACCCATCCATTAACTCTATCCATCATCCATCCATCCATCCACCCACCCCACCCATCTCCCTGTCCATCCATCCATCCATCCACCCACCCATCTCCCTGTCCATCCATCCATCCATTCAACTATCCATCTATCCATCCATCCATCCATCCATCCATCTTCCTGCCATACATCTGTCCATCCACTCATCCATCTCCCTGCCCATCCATCCATCCACCCATCCATCTCCCTGTCCATCCATCCATCCATCCACCCACCCATCTCCCTGTCCATCCATCCATCCATCCACCCACCCATCTCCCTGTCCATCCATCCATCCATCCACCCACCATCTCCCTGTCTATCCATCCATCCATTCATCCATCCATCTTCCTGCCATCCATCTGTCCATCCACTCATCCATCTCCCTGCCCATCCATCCATCCACCCATTCATATCCATATCCATCCATCCATCCACCCACCCACCCATCCATCTCCCTGTCCATTCATCCATCTACCCATCCATCCATCCATCCATTCATCCACCCATCCATCTCCATATCCATCCATCTGTCCATCCACCCATCCATCTCCCTGTCCATCCATCCATCCACCCACCCACCCACCTATCTCCCTGTCCATTCATCCATCTACCCATCCATCCACCCATCCATCTTTCCATTCATCCACCTATCCGTCTCCCTGTCCATCCATCCATCTACCCATCCGCTTATACTTCTACATGTTTCTTTGGTGAGTGTTTCTGAAGGGTCCACTTGCAGAGCACGATGGTGGCTCAGAGATGCGGTGGTGAATCAACGCCTCGGTCTGCCTCTGTGGAGTGCACGGTCTTGTGGGGAGAGAAACAAGTGGATGGACTGTGACAACTGGTGAGAAGCGTTGGGAAAACAGGCATGGGTCCTTGTGGCTGCCATGGGAGGCGGCCTTCCCGAGGGCGGGGCGTTGAGCCAGGACTGGTGGAGGAGAGATCTGAGGACATGAAGGCAGAGAGAGGGAGGCATGTCCACCGGCCCAGCCGTCCAGAAGCCCATGAAGCTAGGGGAGGGGAAGGGCCTCCGTGGCCCGCAGAGTGAGTGCAGCTCTGCCGACACCTCGGAGCAGCCCTTCTGGTCTCCAGGACTAGGAGAGGGTGAGTTTTGGTGTTCCAAGCACCCAGTGTTGGGGAACTGGCTAGGGCAGCCCTAGGAATGCCCCGACAGCCTCCCTGTCCTGAGCTTTGGGTCTCCCTGCCGTGGGCATCTTGGTGCTGGCCAGGACACAGTGGCCCACCAGGCAGGGACATTCTTGTCTCCCGCCCCAGCATCTCACCTGGAGGCTGACAGCAGCCCCTGGGGCCAGCTCCCCCCGCACACTCCGTCAGCCCTTCCTGGTTCACACCGGCCGCTTGGCTTCATCGTGAAACAGGGACAGGCTCACGTTTCCGTTTTCCAACCTGCCCCTCAGGGGTCTCCTGAGCGCCACGCTCAGGCCCATGCCCACCCTGCAGGCCATGGCCAGGGGCCCCAACCACGGGGCTGGCGAGGACTAGCCCTCATCACGAATGAGAACGACAGGTTCCTGCACGCGGAACCCGCTGCTCCGGGTTGAGACTCGGGCAGAATTCCGCTTCCCACTCCCAGGGAGATGATTTATAAGAGGTTTGGGGGCCAAGGAGGTCGGCCTGGAATGCCGGCTAGACAAAATAACTTATCAGAAAATTCCAAGTGGCCGTCTGTCATGGCTAGAACGCGGCGTGGCGTGGCCTTTCCCAGCGAGAGACAGACGCTGGGGGCTTGCTCTCCGGCTGGGTCTGCATGGCTTCTCCCACTGGTGGTGCCTGGTCCTGGTGAGGGGTGAGGGGACGGCCTGTGTTGTCCTGGAGTGGTCACCTCCGCCGCTGCCTGGGGGCATCTGCACTTCCAGGATGTGCTGGGTGGGTTTGTCCCATCTCTCAGGCCCCGGCACTGTGTCCCACGGCAGGGAGTTGCTGACAGAGACCCTCATCATGGAGTCAGGGGCCTGGGCCAGTGGGCTTGGGCGAGCCATGCCGGCATCTCCAAGTGGCAGTGGCGCTGACTCCCAGGGTGCCCAGCTTGTGAACACGTGCAAGCACCGTGGACGACCCTCATCAAACTGCCATTGGATGACCGTCCCGAGACTGAGGCCTCTGGAGCGGGCAGGGCTCTGTCCAGCCAGTGGCACTGAGTAACCGCCTCTGGGTGGCGAGGCTGCCATTTTATGGGGAGCTATGTGAAATGCCCCAGGGCAGGGGCTCAGCTCTGCTCCCTGGTACCAGCCCAGACCTCAGCCACGCAGCAGAGTGGCCTCAAGCCTTGGAGCCTCCCGGTGGTCCAGGCCACTTCTGGACTCAGGACAGGGGCTGGGATGAGTGTGGCCTTCTCTGATGAAATGGGACGACAGAGGGTGGCCAGCCCAGGGAGGACATCTCCGTAGCCCTGTGTTTAATGGACGCGGATCACACTCAGAGGCCAGAAGGGCCAAACCAAGCCCAGGATAGCGAGAGGCCTCGTGGGCATCCGAGGGAGGCTGCTGCTGCCCGCTGAGAGCAGGGAGCTGACCTCACTGCAGAAATAACTGGGCAGGTTGTCCCTGCCCACTGGCTACTCTGACATGGACGCTGACTTGGAAGCGCCCCAGCAGGACGGGGGAAAGTTAGGAAAGAGGCTGTTTCTTCTCTGCATGAGCCGCTCTCGCGGAGCGTGGAGAGATGGCCAGGCGGTTCTTATCTTTGAACCCCATGTACTTAACGCTTATTAAAATCAATACCATCCATTAGCCGGCAACGTTTCCATTTTTAATCATCTATTGATATACGGCCTGTGCTTTTATAGGACTAAACAAATTTCCGCTCTCTGCCCCTCTGCAGCCCGGGGGCAGGCGGTGCGCGGCCGCGGGACGTGAATGTTTATTTACGGCCTGCTTCCTGATTGAGAACATACCTGGTCCATGGCTTCAGATGGCTTTTACACGGGGGACTCAGGGCCACTTCCTGTTCTCCAGACACAACGCCGTTCTTTAAGGAGCGTAATGAATGCGAGGTATTGTGGGCGCAATCAGGGCCCAGCCAGCCCGAATGGGAGGCAGCCGGACGGGCAGGGCTCATTATTTGCTTACTCATTCGCTCCTTTCTGGGGGGCAGGGTGAGCTGGCCGTGGCTGCCAACACCTCTCTGTGTTTCTGCGGCTCCCTCCTGGACTCTGCCAGGTTCCTGTCCTGTGCACGTTTGCCTGGGAAAGAGAGGGAAGACTCAGGCGACCCCCAGCAGGGACAGGGGTCCCGCACGGCCCCGGGAAGACTGTGCAGGGGACCCGAGGTGCCATGACACTTGTGGCCCCCTGCCCGTCTTCCCCTTGGCACACAAGTCCAGACCTTGTCTTGTCCATGGCACGAGGCAGAGCTCAGCTGTCTGCAGACGCACCTTCAGCACCAGCTGCTCTTGGGACAGGGAATCCCTCCCGACGCGATGTAGACAGAGGGACTCCAGGGACCCGGAGGGAGGCTGGTCAGGATGTTCTGGGAAGGTCTGTCATGGGTGCCGAGGGGCCGAGGGACGCAGCTGCCTGCCATCCTTTCCCGCCCCTCCTCACTGCAGCCCTGTGTCTGAACCCTCCTCGGCAGGCAGCCCTGGGCTGCAGGTGCGCTGTCTCTACCCGCCCTGCAGGACCCTGTGCTCCCCCTCCTGCAGGCTTGTCCACCGTGGCTGGGCACATGCTCAGCTGCCGGAGGTGGCTCAGAGGACATGTGGCAGGTGCCTCTCAGAAGCTGGGCTTCCAGTCTCTGGGATGAGTTCCTCCTCCTGTGGGCCCCTCAGCCCAAGCTCTGAGAGGACACCCAGTCCACCTGGGCCCCCAGGTGCCTGAGGTTGACTCTCAAGACAGGGCTGGTGCACCCTGGTTGTGCATGGGGGTTCCAGTCACAGTGTGAAAGGGACACCCAGGCCTCAGCCATGTTCCAAGACTCCCAGAGACTCCGGGGCTCCTGGGCCTCCCAGAGGTGGGGAGGGGTGCACAGCAGCATGTTTGGCACCTACAGGGTTTGCTTCTGCCTTTGGGGGTTTGTTTTTACAACACTTAGTGGTTTGTGGGATAGCAGAGTTCCTGCTAAAATAACCAGAGGTGCTTGTCTGCTGAGCTGTCCCACCCTGGGGACGGGGCCAGAGGAGGCGGGATGCCCTGGGTACCCGCTTTCCCGCAGCCTAGGCCCAGGTCCCAGGCCTGCCTGCCACAGGGTGTCAGGGAAAGGCCTCACCACAGCCCCTTTGTGCACTGGGGGCACAGCACACCGCTGGCCACCCGCACAGGACACCAGGCCCCGCGGGTGTGGTCGTGGGTTGAACGCGCATCTGTGATGGGAGGCTTCATAAAACGCCTTCTAATGAGACGAGCCCAGCGGAGGGGAGGGCGGCCGGCGACGAGGGCTGCGTCGGAGAACGTGCTTGTTAAAAGTGTAATGAGAGACAGAGCAAATCCCCAATATCGGGCAAAGCTGTCGTTAAATCCCTTAATGATAGTGGGGCTCTCTCTGGTGCGCCGCGCGGTTGCTTATAAACCCCTCTGGCGTGGCGGGTGGGGGCTGTGGGAGGAGAGGGGCTGGAAGGTCCCTCCTGGAGGCTGAGACCTGGGGTCTGACCTCCTTACTGTCCCCGGTGCTGCCCTGGCAGGTACCCTGAGGTCCCCTGGGCTGGAGTTGGACCCCAGCCAAGCAGGGTGAGCTGTAGCCCGTGGTCCTCAGAGCCACCTTGCTTGGTCCCCCTGGGGCTCGCTGAGCACCTGCTGGGTGCTGGGTGCTGGTCTGGCCCTGGGGCCGCCCTGGATTTTCCCTTGTGGCCACTCAGTGGGTGTCCAAGGGGCTGGCCCAGAGAGGGCCCTCACAGGGCTTGAGGGCTGGTTGCAGCTGGTCTCAGCCTGGCTGCCGACCTGCCCGGAACACCCCGTTTGTCAAAGGCTCTCCTGGAGAGTGAGAATCAGGGCTGGCCTTGGGCTGCAGGGTGGGCGTGATCAAGCGTCCCACCGAGGCCCATGGCCTGTGGCGTGGGCAGGGGTTTGAGGCCTGTGAGTCAGGGTGGTGTCAGTCTCTGAAGCCCACTTCATCTCCCGTCAAGGCCTGGTCTTCGGGGTGTTCAGTTCTAGGAAGTCTGGAGGGGAGGCAGGAGGGACCACGGCCAGGCTTTGGTCCTGAGGGCTGGAAGGTCTGGGGCTCGAGGGCTGTGACCTTGAGTGGAAGCAGCCCCCACCTCCGGCATGTTCCTGCCCCTGGAGCAGGACCAGTGGCCCTCGGAGTTACCCCTGCCCATTCCGGCTCCTGTGCCTCCACCCTCCTCTTGGGGCAGAGGCCATCCCTGGCCGGCCAGCCAGACCTGCCAGGCCCCTGGCCGTGCCCTGGGGGCCAGAAGTCTGGGCAGATCAAAGGCCAAGGCAGGGTGGGCTGCTGCCCTGGGAGCCCAGGTCGGGGGGGCGGAGTGAGCCGTGCCCGGAGCTTGTCTGGAGTGGGAGCTGCCCGCTCCTGGTGGCCGAGCACTGGAGCAGGCTGCTTGCGGCTGGCCCTCCCAGGCACCCCGAAGGAGGCTGGTTTTCCTCCTCACCTGTGGGGAAGCTCCTCCGTCACAGCCCCCAAGGACAGGCTCTCCTGGGGGATGCTGGTCTCCCTGAGGACAGGGCTGAGGCCCTGTCTCCAGGCCAACTATCCCCCCAGAAGGAGCCCAGATCCCCCAGCCCCGGGACGACCCCAGCTTCTGGTGGATTCAGGCATTGAGTGGCTCTGTCGGTGTCCCTCCTGGCCTGGCTGGGCAGCAGCATGGCCATAGCTCACAGACTGGTCTCTGGCCAAGGTGGACCATGCAGCTGGCCCTCACCCAGAGGACCCTGTTGGCCGGGAGGAGGGTACCCCTTGGCTGTGTGCCTGGGAAGGGGGTCTCCTCCTGGGGGTGCTGGGGGTCCAGGGCCACCAGAAGTCCTTGCTTTGCTTTCTTGGGAGGCGGAACCTCCGGCTCAGGGGTCAGAGCCCTCCCACCATCCTGACCTTCAGGACCAGAATGTCCCAGCCAGGCCTGGGGGAGGAGGTGCACGGCCCCCACGGGGACTGGTGGGTGGGCCCCGCCTGGCCCGGTGGCCTGGTGTCATTGGACCCGGGGCTACTCCCAAGCAATGGCCCCACAGACGATCCCCCAGGAAGTCCTCCTGCTGAGGAACGAGGTGGGGGGGCCCAACTGTCACTGGGAACGGCAGGTCAGGGCCAGCTGAGACCACCCCTCCCCTGAGGGTGGGCGTGTGACCCCCCCTGGCGCCTGGGTGTCCCTCCCTGAAGGAGGTGTGGAGGCCTTGGGCTCCTGGGGCTGCTGAGCGGAGGTGCGGGCGGCAGCTGCGTCGTGTGGAGCGCTCCATGACCCAGGTCAGCGCAGTAGGTGGGTCAGGACACAGGGCCCTGGGGAGCCAGGCAGTGGCTAGGGCCTGCCCTCTGTCCAACTGTGGTGGGGTCAGCTCCCTGTTGAGAGTGTCCCCAGGCACGGGGCCTGGCCAGCACAGGCCAGGGCACACCCCAGCCCTCCTGGAGGGGCTCCCCTGCTGTAGTCCCCCTGGCCAGTGAAGCCTGTGCCCACCTAGCTGCCTTGGTGCCCCCGGGGGCCCTGGGGTTGGGCATGTCCCTGCCCCAGCCCCAGCCAAAGGATGAGGCCACGTTGGTGGTAGAGGAAGAGGGCGGTGAGAGGGCCGGGAGGTGTGGGCGGCCACACCCTGCCCTCCTCCAGGCCTGGCAGACACAAGCAGCCCCTGGCTGGACCCCGTGCCCAGGGCAGTGGTTAAAAGGCCGCCAAGGGCCCAGGTGTGGATATTTTTAATAGTCTGTGACCTGCCATCCACTCTTGGCTGGGTGTTAATGGCCAAATGTTTTGCAAGTAAATTACCAGAAAGAATTATTCCTGAGAGGCGGGGATTTGTGAGGAGGTGTGAGAAAACTGGACAGCTGGCTCGCTTGTGTCCGTCCTCCGCCCTCTCAGGCACGGGGCCTGGCCAGCCACAGGCCAGGGGGCTGGGAAGACAGGTGTGTCTGGGGCGCCCCCCGTGGGGCCCGCTTCCTCCGAGGGGACCTGGGGTGAGGACTGTCCTTGGGGCTCCCTCGGGGGCCTCCTGAGGTCTCCGGGCACAGCCAGACTTGGAGCAGGGATCTGGACAGTTGTCCTGCTGTCCAGTCCCCTTCCCAGAAGTGTCCTTTGACGGCACCTTAGGGACTGGCTAGGAGAGCCTGTCTGGCCTCTCTGGGGCTGCTGAGGCCCCCAGGACCCCAAGGCAGGGCTGGCAGGCTGAGGGCTGTGCCCTGAACCCGGGACCCCTCTGGGGGACAGTCAGGAGCGAGCAGCATTCCACTCAGCCCAGTGCCCACTTTGCCCAGAAGACCAGGGCAGCAGCCCGGCGGTGGGGGGCTCTGGCTTCTGTGGGACACATGGAGCCCCAAGAGGAGAGGTGAGGTGCTCAGGGGGCTGCTTCACCAAACTTGTCCTGGCCCAAGAAGCTGAGGGACTCACCTCGGAGGGGCGCCCTGAGGGCCAGCAAGCCCCCGTCCTTGAAGGTGGTCAAGGAGGCTTTGCCCTGGCCAGGGATAGCAGCAGGGCTCAGGGCTTTCTGCTGTGAAGGCAAGGACACCTGGTGCTCTCCTGGGTGGGGCCTGCGCTCGGAGGCTCCTGGCCAGGCAGGGTGGGGCCACCAGTTGGCACGGTGACCATCCAACAAACCACGGAGCTCATGACCCTGCATGGCTGGCTGGAGGGGCCATCAGAGCCTCCATCAGATGCCACCGAGAGAGCGGTGACCTGTCCCTGAAGCTGTGGCAGGAGCCCCTCCTGGGCGCTGGGTCCCCCACCCCCAGGAGCCCCTGCGCTTCGTGGAGTTGACCCCAGGCAGGGCGGCCCGAGGGGTGAGCCGCGCTGACGTCTTCAGTCCTGGCCCGGCTCCCCCTTCAGCTCGGATCTGTGCCTCCTGCCAGGGAAAGCCGGGCCCACGGGAGCCCAGGGTCTGCAGATGGGCTCCGAGCTCCCAGCCGGGCGAGCCTCGGCAAGGCCTCGCATCCGGGGCAGCCCTGCGTCGCCAGCTGTGAAGTGGGGTGGCACCCACCCCGGAGTTTACGCCCTCAGGAGGGTGCACAGGGACTGTGATGAGCACAAAGCCCCAGGACCCCCATAGGACTGCCCCAGGACCCCTCCCTAGTCCCTTTGCTGTCCTGGTGATCTCTGGGGCCGGACTCAACACACATGGGGGTGCCTCTTCTGGGAAGATGTGCGCCGGCCTGGGCCTGGGCCTGGGCAGTGGGCATCACGGCCACGTGTGGGGGGAGCACTGGGCCCTGGGTGAGGTGCTTAAAGAATGGCCTGGGCCACGGAGCAGGAGATGGGGCGGGGGACAGAGCAGCCGCGAGGCGCTTTGAGCCAACCCTCTGCCCTCTGGACGTGGCTCTGTGTCTTTAAGACACTAATGGGCCCTCTTAAAAAGTGACAGTTTGCTCCGCACACTCACAGGTTCCCGTCTGACATCAGCAGGGAATCAAAGATATTTTATTATTTGGAAATTCCATATAGGGAAAGCAGCCTTGAGGGTCTGTCATTGCTCCAAAACCCACACCTCCCCTGGGAGTTAATTATTTTCTTAAAATGCAACTTGCACTGTTAGTCTAAAACATTCCAACTGTGTTCACACTCTTTAAATCTTCCGTAAACCTTAGAGTTTAAATCACTTGCAGATAAGAGTGATTCTGTTGGGGAGAGAGGGGAGCCAGCGCTCGGCAGAGGTGGGATCGGATGAAAAGAAAAGGCCATTGATGGTGGCTCCCCGGGCACCTCCCGCCTCGCCCCTGGGGACGTGGCAGCTGCACATGGAAACCTGGCAGGGCGAGACCCTGGTGCCCCGGCCAGCACTGCCCACCACCACCCTGGAAGGCCGGACACAGGTCCTTTGAGTTGGAACAGGGATAGTCGTGAGATGGCCAAGACTGCGCCATCTTTGGGGAGCTGGGCACTGGCCTTGGTGAGGAGGAACCTCTGGCCTCCCCGCTGGAAGGTTCCTGGGGCCTCGTGTCCACCTGGGGCCTAGTGCCCTCCTGTGGCTTGATGTCCACCTGGGGCCTGGGTGTCCACCTGAGCTCTGATTTCTCCCTGGATCCTGGGTGTCCACCTGGGGCCTGGATGTCCACCTGAGCTCTGATATCTCCCTGGATCCTGGGTGTCCACCTGGGGCCTGGCTGTCCACCTGAGCTCTGATTTCTCCCTGGATCCTGGGTGTCCACCTGGGGCCTGGCTGTCCACCGAGCTCTGATATCTCCCTGGATCCTGGGTGTCCACCTGGGACCTGGGTGTCCACC